ACCGTAACCTCCCTGTCATTGCCCTCCTGCTCCTCTAACAGAGACCTAAAAGCAATGAGTCCAACCAAGCATGGAATGCAACCTCTGGAACTGAACCCACATATGCCTTTTCTCTATGTAAATTAATGTCTCAGATGTTCTCTTTCAGTGATGGAAGCTGAAAACACGTTGGCAGATGCATCTTCAGGTCACCTGAGACACTGAAGCCACATAGAAGTGGCTTACTGAAGACACAGAAATCACCATGGATATGGGGATAGAGGACAGGGACAGTACCTAAGCCTCCTCACCTTGACTTGGTTTTCTGGCTGGTTGATACTTACTGACTCTCAATAGGACCATTCTCCTCTCTTTCCCTCTTCAGAAACCTAGTTCACATTTTGCTGACATTCAAGTGTTCATGGATCAGGTTATTGTCTGTAACTGTACTGAGAAGCCTGTGCTCAACAGCCATACACTTCTCAGAATCAAAGGTGAATAATGTTCATCATGAGTTCTGACTGTGTGTCAGACATCTGGAATCTCAGCAGCTCCCAGTAGGGGCGCTGAACTACAGCTGCTGGTCCCCCACAACCTGCATCTCCATGAGGACACTGCAGGCAGCACCTACAGGGATTTTCTGATCTTTACATATCTGGCCTCTCCCTGGCATCCTCCTAGATCTTTTCACCACAATCCTGCCCATCATATTTCACCCCTTCTCCCTGTTCACTCCTATTTGAGTCAATCTATTTTCCTCCATATCTGCCCTCTAGGGTCCAGGTCTCACTGTCTTGTTCACATCATGGAACTCAAGCCACCAGTACATTTCCTGGGCCTCTGTGGGCCCCAAAGGCTCCTTAATATACACCAATCACGGTTAACTCTTCAAGCCATGCAGATAATGGGAAGCAGGGAAAACAGTGCCTTTGAGCAGTGAGAAATGAATGCCTCTCCTTGGCCAGACCCAGTTCTGAGCCAGGGCCCTGGACTTGGCAATGCCTGTAGGCTTGGTTTAGTTCTTGTGAGCCCTCCTTGGCCAGGTGCTCTTGTGAGCAACCTGCACACCTCTATCTGGAAACCTTCTCTAGGTCAGAGGATGCATTTGATTCTGGGGGTATCTGCTATTATTTCTGTCTCTCCTGATATCTTCTCCACATACAACCACAGAGAATGACACACAATCAATCTCTCTCTCTCTCTCTCTCTCTCTCTCTCTCTCT